AAACAATGTCAAGTCTACCAGCGCTCCAATAGGAGCCTGTCGAGAGCTGATACTATTCGTTCCACCTCATAGCCGTTTATATACTTTTTAGAGCAGGAGTCTCACATTTGCTGTTGACTTCTTTAAGTACTTCCGAGATACCGACTGCAAATATCATGGCATTTTAAACACGGAAGAATTCGTACCCTTCTCTCCCCTGCCCTTTTCCCTTCGGTTTTCTGGTTTTTGTGAACAAGTTCGAACTTCGCCGAATCCCATTTCACTTCAACAACAGCGATGACAACTATCTCAACCTCGACAGTACTTTTATTTACTACAATTTCCTGACAGCATGCCTCTATGTGAAGTACACAGAATCAATGCAATAACGTCGCGCATAACGCTGGGGCAGAATCCCCTCGAAAAGTCTTTCAGTCAGTGCAGTTATAGCGCAATCATGTTCAGCTAAAGTACATCACCCAGCCATTATAAAAATGGATGTGGTGAAAATACGGACAAAATGTCTCATCAAAATGTTGCTCATTCTCCCACTACTACTTTTCTTTCTAGCGGACGCCGAAAAAATAGGTGAGTGCTACTAGTTTCATGATAATGCTTACATAGATATAACAATCTGATATGAAGACACCAGGGCACTATCGCAAGATACAGGCATTCCTTAAGATCAAGTCTGAAATGTGGAAGGACCACCGCGCAAAATAATTGCTCACGCTCCCTGGAGCTAGCCTGCCCTCTAAGGTATAATCCCGCTTACAATAAGAAAGACAAAGTTCAGAATGCGAACGTGCTGTCGCCACAATGCCTCCGCATCTTGCGATAGCGCCGGCATCGACTGCTAACATACAATAAAATCTCGCAAGGAACTTTAACAATTTAGAAGAAATTAACCATAAAGCGAGAATGAAGCTCCAGAAGCTCAACAAATCGTTGAATCCAGGACTGGTTGGTTTTCACGATGTTCGGCCGAGCAGTATAGACATGTTGAAACGTTAACTCAGTAGCTTTTTAACTGTTCATCCACATGAATTCACAGAAATGGAGGACGAACTGGTGAACTCGGCGTTGGAGGAATTGATGGGCATAAAATTAGTGCAAGTCACTGCGAAAGTCAAAGCGACATAGTTTGTACTAGTCTTCTTGTGATTTTTCTTTCTCTGTACCTATTACAGAACTATTTTATCTGTTCAGCGACTTCAATACAAGTGACCATACACCAATGGAAGCAAAAGTGGAAATAGCAGTGGCAGGGCCCCTAGAAAAAAAGCAGGAGAAGGTGGGTCGAAAATACTAAGAGCCTTAACCGGCCATGTCTTTGCGTGATTGGCGGAGATTAAGACAACAGATTAAGACAACACCTTATCTTTATTTATTTCCTTCGCAAGAATTACGAAATTTTAGTACTACAAAGAGTATAGTTCTCAATTTACACGTCCCCTTTCAGTTGAAAGAATGGCACTATTGCACTGTCACAACCAGGAGCGGTGAGAT